AAATGTAAATTGCTAAACAAATAATAGACGAAAACGTTAAAGTTTACATTCATTTTAAAGCGCAGCCATTCAGCTTTCTAACAGTGGGTTGTTTCTTAAATTTGACTCATTGGTTCGCGGGTAATAATACTTTACGTTATTGCGATTGGAGATTAAAAAATTGAGATGGAATAACAAAACGTTCTCATGAAAATAACTGATTTTTTCATTAAAACAAAAAAATGTTGCATTTTAATAAATGGATTGTAACAATAAGTATAATTACGGCTTTTCTTCCACTATTTTTAACACAGTTTGAAACTTCAAATGCGATATAATTTTGGCTTGGATCATCTAAGCTGACTGACATCAGCTTGCTATAATTTCTGTTTACATTACATCGCAATTCGATGACACTCTGGCTCAGACACCAGAATGTTTTGATTCTATGATTTTTAGCGTTCGTTTGGGATTTTCAAACAACCTGGTCTCTTTTAAAATACTTTTAATTTGTTCTTACATGGTTTTCTAGATGTAGTGACGACAACATTAAAGTTTAAAGAAGAAAATTCTAACATTTAAACCGACTAAACAATAACATAGTAGACTTGCATAATTAAACAGCAACTAAAAATGATAGGTTTTACTAAATCTTTTCCTGTGCAATCATTACTAGTATTGGAGACAAGGATAATAGTTTGTTTGAAAGAGAAAAGAACAGGCTTTGAAGTAAGCCTAAATGCGTTTAACTAGAAATAGTATTTCGAAAGTTATTAAGCACAAAAGATGAATTGCGTTTATTTTGATACACCCTGTATATATATCAAAAACTGGATACTAATAGTGGCTTTGCGAAATTGAGAGCAATTTCAAATCTGTTCAGTTTTTTTATACGCCCTGTATATTGTTCTATAAAATTATATATAATAGTTTGTTTGTGGAAACACCATGTAAATTTATTACTGCAAAGCTTTATTATTAGCACTAATTAATTAGCACTTTTATTAGCAGTAATAAATTTTAAATAAGTTTTGCAGTAATACATTTACGTGGTGTTTCCACAAACAAAACTATTATAAAAGAATGTCAATTCAATTCAACTGTCAGACATTAGTCAAGCTTTATATGTTAAGGTTACTTCACATGATGAACGTGCGTTTTAGTCTATTGAACATGGCGCAACGAATTTTAGGTGTAACTTTACCAAATTTTTAGTGAAGAAAGCCAAAAAAATGCTGATTTCGAAAATCTTTATTTGATGGGTGTTCTGTTTAAACATGTCCAGTATTGGCTGACTAAAGAAATACATAGGTATCCCATAAAATATCAAAATATATTTATAGTTTACCTCAACGTTTGTCTACATATATCGATTTGAATCTTCATAAGTACGGTAAAAAAAAACGTGTGCGGAAAATTTCTCTTCTTCAATGGTTTTTCTGATATGACGTTTTCTTTGACAAGTTCGTGAATTATCAGTGAAAAATCCAAGAATCAGGGCATATCAGAAAAACCACTAAAGAAGAAAAATTTTCTGCATACGTTTTTTTACCATGCCAATGAAGATTCGAATTGCGATATCTAGACAATCGTTGAAGTAAACTATAAACATACTTTGATTTTTTTATGAAGGTACCTATATACTTATTCAGTCAGCCAATACTGAAAATGTTTAAACAGAACACCCATCAAATGAACATTTTCGAAATCAGCATTTTCCTGGCTTTCTTCACCGAAAATTTGGTAAAGTTACACCTAAAATTCGTTGAGCAATGTCCAATAGACTAAAACGCACGTTCATCGTGTGAAGTAACCTTAATTGTTCTGTAAAATAATGTCAACTCAACTGTCAATTTCTATTGACAGGTGGACGGTAGACAATTATTATTCCAACGTTTACACACAGTAGTGGTCGCTTCCAGAAGGGAGGGGAGGGGGCTTGAAATACTATCTCGAGTAATGGGGGGGGGGGCATGAAAAAGATCATAAGGGGATGGGTCGAAAAAATATTTTAATACATTTTAGTTTTACTCCAGCCCACCCGTATGTATAATTAATGAACTGTCCCTAATATACAATAGTTCACGGCATCTACTTTCCAGACCCAGTTGAAGATATAAGAAATCCATTAAATAAACAATGCTTGTCGGTAAGTCACAAACGAGAGATCCCAGACGCATGTAGGGGTCCTATTGCCTATCCCAAAATGAAAATAAATTAGGAATAAATGACGTAAAATTAAACAAAAGTTAGAAAGTAACGAAATGAAAATAACAAAGTAAAACGTTACTTCCTAAAACGACTTCGTTCCAAGTATATAAGTACTCCAGAAAAAGTTTACTTTGTTACATGCTGATTTCTCAAAAGTAGTATTCAAGTACAGTAACGAAGGTACATTTACTTCGTTACTTGACACCACTGTGCTTGTTTAGCTGATTTTGTGCAAAAATTATCTATGGAAATTCAGTTACTCAATTGCTTAAGGTGGCTCCCTACAGTTGTCTCTATTTGCCCAACATCTCTGCAGTATATGCAGACCGTGCATTCTTTTCTATACTTGGAGGCAATATCTAACATCAGTGGAATATTTAGAACTCGGTTTTGACAATGTCATTGTTGTTGTTGTACTGGTCCCGCAAACATCCCGCATGCTGGAGGTTTCCTACAGTAGCGTGCGGGATGTTCGCGGGAACAGTATGGGAACAATACGTGGACTATCCCCTGCCTCGTACCCAGGCGCTATGTGTTGTTCTATGGCTTGCGCGGCCTTTCCGTGGGCCGCGTGGATTAATTTGATCGATTGACTGTTCCATGCATGCACGCAAACGCACGATCAAAACAAAACAAAAATTGACCGGACTTTTTCTTTAAATAAGAAAGCTATTTCTGAAAGGTTTCTAATAAAAAAAGCGTTGAATAATCCTTCGTTTTGAGTACCAAATCAATTGGCGAGTCCATTCAGCTATTCTGCATATGATACGAATATCGCTACTCGCAATGTCTTTTAATTTTTTAAAAACATACACTGTCAACTGTAAAACATTAGCTAAATTGTACACATGCAAACGTTTAATAAACATTTATAACACTTTTATAGCCATGCTCATGTTTAGCAAAAGTGCAAAACCAAACAAAAAAACTCATAAATTGAGTAAACGGCAGGGTTCAATTAGCTTCAACCTTAGAGGTCTCGTGCTTTCATCGATTTGATATTTTCAATATTCCTTAAACCTTAGCTGTCCATGGCACTCACATAAATCGAAAGTTGACAAAAACAAAACAGTACTAGAAAAACAACATTGCCACTCGATTCTACTACGTCTTCAGGCACGTCACTACGGAGTCACATGAGAAGCGCGTGCGTGCAGCTTGTTGATCAGAACACTTGTGTGATTTTTCCTCTTTGCTAAAATTCAGAAGAATTTTGACGAGTAGGTAAGACATAACGGAGGCTTTCGTGGGACAAAAACCGTAAGTATAAAACTTATATACATGTGTGTATTTTAGTTCCAAAACAGATATGGCGACTGACAACACATAACAGATTGCTGGAAGAGATTATTTCGCTGGCCTCAGAGTGACAAAACGTAACAAAGCAACGGTTTTACTAACACTAACCCTACTCCAAACACCAACTCTAACCCGTAACCCTAACCCAACCCTAACCCTAAACCTAATCCTACCTAACCCTAACCTAACCCTAACTTATTTTAAAAATTGATTAAAAATGGAAACCTTATTTTGAAGTATACTATCTAGCAATTGCCCTTATGGCAAACGTCTCAGGACACAAATGTGCCACTTCAACAACCAGACGTTGAAGAATCCCAGCACAGGCGACGAGGCAAAAAGCGGCGCTCAAAAACGTCGTCCTCATTTCAGAAGCCAGAAATTTACCTGTAGTGCAATAATTATAATAGAGCTCTTTCTGATTGATTTCCGCTATCATACTATAAGCTTCGAAAGAAAAGGGGGTCTGCGGGTCCTCCCCCACAAAATGTTTGCATTTTTGAAGCTCCAGGACAGGATTTCTGGCGTTTTCTAAAGCAAATTCTGACAAACGAATTGGACTAAATTTACTGTATCTTACAAAAATGGCTACAATAACGACTTTATTAGGCAAATCGTACCTGAAAAGGTCAAAATTTTAACTTGAAATTTACCTGAGTTTCACAATTGGTGGGAGGGGGTACACCCCGGGTGTTGACCCCCATACCCTCCGGTCACTACGTCCCTGCGCTCAGTTAAGTGCCTTTGGCGGTAGTTTGGCCCAAATTCTAACTGCTAATAAAGATTAATGCACAACATTCGCTGGTTGTTTTGCAGGGATAATTTCCTCACTATAAATTCCCCGTAGGCCATAATAAATATACTGATATTAATTAATACCTGTATCAATCCTGTGTTTTTGTCATCGCCCCTCTTCCACACACATTGTTTCCAAGTTGACTTCACAAGTTCTACACTTCCTCTTTTCCCAGGCCTCCCAGGATCTCCTTTCGCCCCAGCAGAACCAGTTGCTCCAGGCAGACCATCTCTTCCGGGATTTCCTGGAACACCAGGGATACCTGGGATGCCTGCTGAAGCACAGTTGCCTGAGAAGGCTAGTAAAAATAACAGTAAATTGTTTAGAATAGAATATGTTAACCAATATCACACTCATAACAGCTTTATAATTATAGGAATGAGGTTTATATGCACTGTCACATTGTTGATTTTAAGCACTGCTTCACATCAATTGAAAGGAATTTGGAAAGAATATATTCATATTAGTGATGACCATATTTTTTGACCGTAAATTGTAATTAGTTCTTTGTATGTTTGCATGGCGATAAAACATATAATAGTTTTGTTTGTGGAAACACCACGTAAATTTATTACTGCAAAGCTTTCGATCCGTAAGCCCGGATCTTCATCAGTGCTAATAATATGTGATTTGTTTAATTCACACGCCCTTTTTATATACAAAAGTGTCGTGATTTGTTGGCTCGCGTCATTTGAAATTTATCAAGACAAGAGAAATTAATTTTGCACATAAAAGAGAGCACGCCATGTACTATCTAGTGGCTATCAGGAGGGAAAGCCACTAGATAGTACGTAGCGTGCTCTCTTTAATGTGCAAAATTAATTTCTCTTGTCTTGATAAATTTGAAATGACGCGAGCCAACAGATCACGACACTTTTGTATATAAAAAGGGCGTGTGAATTAAACAAGTCACATATTATTAGCACTGATGAAGATCCGGGCTTACAGATCGAAAGCTTTGCAGTAACAAATTTACGTGGTGTTTCCACAAACAAAACTATTATAAATTGTAATTAGTTTGGCATTATAGAGAAAAGAGATCAGTGGTCTGCGTAATTATTTTACGGGGTATTACATAGTACCAAAAAAATATACGACGCTAATCCATGACTTGTCTTAATTTAAAGTTAAGGCTGCGCGAAAGCAAATGCGAGCGATTCTGGGGCATGGATATTTATGGTTTAATGAGACGTAATTATACTGAAAGAACTAATGGAGTACCATACGAGTTTTAGTAAAGACTTAACAAACCATACTAAATCTATGATAAGCATTTTTGATCGTTGCAAGGTCAGAGGGGCGGGGGGGGGGGGGGG